AAAACAGATTTTTTTCCCCGTTTTTACCCGAGTGAAAGTTTACCTAGCGACCATTTGTAAAAACAATATTTTCGGAGCAAACATCCACTCCCTATTGAATCTATTCTTGTCAATATAAATTAACTAGCCGAATGACCCGGGCAACGCCCGTGTTTTACCCGATTGAATGTTTTGATTCAAATACTATTTGTTACAATTATAAATTGGCGCCTTATATAAATGCATATGTTAGTTAATAACTATAGCCTATGTGCTTTATCTGTCTATGTACTGTTGGCTTCCGTAGGCGTCTCTTACTGGGAAAAAGAAAGAGAGGATTCCATTTGGTTATTAACTAATATATGCATTTATTTAAGGAGCGACCCGCTCCAACACAATGGTTACAAAGACGAAATAGCGAGTGGGTGGGGGGGGAGGGCATGATGGGGGGGGGCAAAGGTGGCGTGACCGTAGCCAACCAATAGGAGGGCGCCATTCCAAAAAAAAGCAAACGGTGACAGAGATGAAAACTGATGACTGATTAATTAGGAGATGAAGAATGACGCTCGTAACTGTATATAGAATGTGTTTGTTACTCTTCTCCACCAAGACTACTAAATAAACCAATAGGAAATTTTCTATATAGGTAGCTGAATGGATAGATTAACATATTTTTAGTACACATATATGTTTAAATATTTCTAAAAAATGTTTCTTACACATTCATATAAAGAATATATTTTTGAAAGAAAGCCGTTTTATATTATATATTCTTCAATATTTATCACAAATAAGAGTCAAAACCCCCATAGAGTTATTTAGAAATGGTTTTACAAAATTTCTTAAAAGCATAAAATTTCAGAAGATCGCGAAATATTAATATAAATTATTTATTTTTACTCAAAATAGATGTCATTATATTATTTATAATGCATATATATATATATTGAGAAAAAGACATCTCCTTATCGTGCAACTGAAAGTTGCTGATGGCTTGCGCCATCTATCGGAATAAATATCAACTACTCTCGTTGATTTTTAATTATTCCAGGATTGGCCAAATACCCATTCTTGATTAATCAAGAAAAGCTAACCACGGACGCGTTTCGGGCTGTTGGCCCTCATCAGCGTGGTGCAAGCTGTACCTCAACGACCAAAAAATTTGGGCCAACAGCCCGAAACGCATCCGTGGTTAGCTTTTCTTGATTAATCAAGAATGGGTATTTGGCCAATTCTGGAATAATTAAAAATCAACGAGAATAGTTGATATTTATTCCTATAGATGGCGCAAGCCATCAGCAACTTTCAGTTGCACGATAAGGAGATGCCTTTTTCTTAATTTATGCACCTTATCCCAGTACAATGTCACATTTGTACTATTTTTCCCTATATATATATATATATATATCAAAGCAAATAATATGTAAGTTCAAAAGTATGTTATAAAAATAAAACTCTATAAAAGCCTTTCTCTCTCTCTCATCAGTCGAATTTTATATAATTAAAATAATTTTTTAAAAGTTAGAATCTTCAAAAGGAAATCCCTTTCAGAATAATTTAAAAGAAAAAAATCAATATGCTCTCTGATAATTATAATTTGGTGAAGATAAAAATGAATTGTCTAATATTTCTATGCGCATTTTAAAGTAACCTCTATTTAAAAATGATACTTTTAAAAATTTAAATGTGTGTGACATTAAATTTAAAGAATTTTAATTTTTTATATAAAAATAATTATTATTCTCTCTCTCTCTCTCTCTCAATCAAATATTTAATTAAATTTCTATCATTTTAAAAATAGTGATTTTATTCAATTTCAGTGAATACTTCGTAATCACAATTACTATATTGAAATTGTTTTTGTTGACTTTGCTTAGAATTATAAATGAAACTGATTCCAATAATTATTTATTAAAGATTATATTTATTGATTTACAAGAGAGAGAACAAAATATAAAAGGGAAACTAATATTGAAACAAAGGAACCTTTTTTTTTCTTGTTTCGGTTAGCGCCTATTTACCCAACTTATGTTAACTTGAATTTATACAACTTATCGAGTATTTTTCAAGGGACCGGGAAAAAATGTTCACTAGATAAAACGATGATTTTGTAGTGTAGAATATTAGGAAAGACAAAATTCAGGATGACACGGCACACAGGGACCGGGAAAAAATGTTCACTTTATCGAGAGATTCAAATTTACGAGTTTCAAATTATCAAAATATATATATATTTTTTTATAAGTTTATAGAGAATTGTTTTAACAAATGTTCGTTAGACAAACCTTTACTCGGGTAAAACCTCGGGCGAAGCCGAGCACATCCGCTAGTTAATATACAGTATAACCTCG